TAGGGGATCAATATAGAGACACAAGAGGACTGCTGGAAGACTTTTGAACAACCTGGGGCGTGGACCAAAAACATAAGGATTAGAAAAGGATGGGACTGCACCTGGAGCGCAATAGTATGGTCCATTTGGCTGATGCAGAATAAAAAGATTTTCCAGAACCAAGAGATGAACTCGGGTAAGCTACTCGAACTGGTTCAAATACGATCTTTCTTATGGATTAAAGCAAAAAAAGCCTAGTGTTACTTTAGTCTTTTGGATTGGTTAAGCAATCCTATTGCATGCCTCACTGTTAATTGTGGTGGTAAATGATAGGGAGGGAATAGTCTAAAAGATGGAATTAACATTATGTGGTTGGGTTTTTGTGTTCTTCAGTGTAAATTCATGGGTTGAGTACCCCTTGTACTCTTTATCAATAAAGTTTGCTGTTCAAAAAAAAAAAAATCATTAAGGCTCTAATCCAATCAACATCAAAGTAAGTACGAAGTTCAAGAGCTAAATGAGCAAAAAAGTTAAGTCCATGAGAAATGATAGCTTTAATATAGCAAATAATGCAAAGTATTACCACATAGTGAGCGGAGTGAGGTGTAGCCATAAATTGATTAACAACATGAACTGCATAAGTTATGTTTGATTATGTTGTAATAAGATAAATTAAACTTTTAACCAATTGTTTGTAGTTAGTGAGATCAACTATTGGACAACAATCCATGGGTGTAAGTCAAACATTTGGTTCAAGAGGAGTAGATGCAATCTTGTTATCAATGAGACTGTCATGCCCTATGACCCAAATCTGGGAACGTGGCAGACGCCGTGCACTCGTGAGAGGGTCCCACAAATGCACAAGGCTCGGAACTTATCATATCATAATCTGATACCACAAAATCTGAAGATAATACTTTAAAATTTTCTCTGATATCATAAAATCTCCAAATACAGTCTAACTTACAAGATCATGATCTACATCTAAAATTCATATTCAATTTACAAAATGGCTAGCCTTTTAACTCGTCACTTCTCGTGGTTTCCTCGTCCTCGGTTTCGCTTCCTGAAATGGTGGACAAGGAAAAACTATGAGATAAACTCAGTAAGTAAAATATGGAGTGCCCCTTATTAAACTTATAGCATGCCAACAAGTATAATCACGAAAATCAGATATGGGTACGGAAACGAAATAGACGTCTCCTCTATAAGTCATGGCCAGCGTATAACACCCACTGGCAGGCGTCAAAATTTACCAATGTGTTCGCCCATTGGCAAGCGTCAGAATTTACCGGTCATATCAGTAAACATGTCGACATGTGCTAACGTTTAACCTCCACTACCAGGGTCACTAATAACATGACCACATCAGAGACAAAACATGCAGAAGTTAACAGAAAAATCATAATTCACCAATCACTTTCAAATCATCAGGACAATCAATTAAATTTCAAGTAGGCATGCTCAATTTAATGAAAAGTATAAAAATTTCACTTCAAATCAGTCATACTCGTGTAAAACGAGTTTAGTCCCGCCACCATTTCAAAAACAAGTCAAAACATGCTTTTAAAAACTATACGGGCATTACCATAAATTTACTTACCTTACTTGCATAAAACCGAATACTCGATCTCAGTGCTAAACTGACAGAACGATCAGGAACCTAATCAAAATATCCAAGAATTAATTATCGCACCACGGATTCAAAAGTAAAATCACCACGACTACTCCCTAATCACGATGTTATTCCCATAAGTCTCCACATTATCGGACATCTCCAAATTTGTTCTTATATTACAAACTAAACATTTAAATCCCCGCTAATTGTTGGCCATCAATGCATGAACAGTGCCCATGGACAATGCTCGTGAACAGTACCATGAACAGTAACTGCACTTCCAAAATTGGCAAAACAATGGCTAATTCACAGGATTTTCTCTCCAAAAATCACAGCAGCCAACTCAAGCAATTTACACATGAATTAAGCTTAATTATGCTCTAATTACTATCCAAATTCATCCCCATTTTTCAACAAATTTGGACAGCACATGGGGCAGGAATTAAATGGACAAATTCAGCAATTAATTGATGACATTTTGGGCTTGGAGGAGCTGTCAACATACCAGAATTTAGCAGCAAAAACCGAATCTGCAAGCTAGGGGAAGAGGCTGGCGGCAAGTGCAGGGGGAATTCACACAATCTACCAAAAATTGGGAGAACCAAGAGGAATTAACGTAAACCCAAGCCAAATGAAGTGAGAAAAGGGGAATTTTGAGCTGTTTCTTACCAAGAACCCGAGCAATTCGCACCCCACAAAGCAGGAGCAGCCGGCAGTGAAGATAGAGTAGAGCAGATCTGGGATTCCTTGCTTTAGGGAGGGTTTCTAAGCTCCTAAATCTTGTTCTTGGACAAGAAAAGAAGGGAAAACCAAGCTTTCTCATCGGTTTTCAGAGGGGAGGTGCATCGGGGGGCCTGGGTCTTGTTGCTCGGTGCAAGGGAGGAAAAGAAGAGCAGACGCGCAGGCTAAAGAAGAAAGAAAGAAGGGAAAAATGGCTGATCCTTATCCAAATGTCTTTCACTTTTAAGTCCCTGAACTTTTGAAATTTTGGCAATTAAGCCCAAAACAATATTTTCCTCACAAGTTAGTCCCTAACTCACACTTAAATATTCTAGAAATTTTTGGGGTATCACAGAGACTAGCTTTAGATATAAGATCAAAAGCATAATTTTTTAGGTAGAGAAGATAACCATAAAAAACAGAGTGATCCTAAGTCCCAAGAAATAACTCAAAACACCAAGATATTCATCTCAAACTTATGATTGAAAGGTTGCTTTTGATCATGAATACTTGAAATATCATTCTAATAATAATCATATCATCGATATAAAGAAGCTATAGAACCATAACATGATTAGCCTTGCCTATGAACATTGCGGTATCATAAGGACTAGAAGTAAAACCAAATTCACTGATAGTGGTACTAAAATTGCTAAACTAGGCTCGAGGTTCTTGCTTCAAACCATACAGAGTTTATTTCAATTAGCAAACCTTGGTTGGTGGATGCTCAAGGCTAGGAGGTGATTTCATTTAAACTTCCTTTGCAAGATCACCATTTAGAATGTGGTATTTTTCACATCCATTTAAAACAATCTCCAATTCCATGCAACAAAAATAACAATCAAACTACAAACATAAGTAAGGTGAGTAATAGGTGCAAAAATCTTCATAATCAATCCCGTATTCTTGAGTAAATTCTTTAACAACCAAACAAATCTTATAACACTCCACAAAACCATTAGATTGAGTTTTGACCTTACACACCCATTTATAGCCTAGTAGGGGCTTTCCTGCTAGGAAATCAATTAAAACCCATGTATGAGTTTAATTTCTCAAGAGCTTCTAATTTATCTTGCATAACTTGTTGCCAAAAAGAGTTAAAAGAGGCCACTTGATAGGATTGAGACTCGTGTAAGGAGGTAGTGGTAGGAAAATAATGATAATTATGAATATAGCTAGGAGGATTTCTTACCCTAGTAGGATAACTCAAGGATGGAATAGTGATCTCACTTTCGAGCTCAATAATAAGTGTTAGATCCAATATCAATAGGTGATACAAAGGAGGTAATGGAAAAAGATTTAACATTGTTTAATTTATTACTAACAAACCAAGCATCTTTTATAGAGCCAATTGGAGCTTGTGGTGAGACATCAAGTAGTTCATATGATATATTTGCATTAGACTCACTAAGAAATAACTCAATAGAATGATTAGTAAAAACTAGAGGTTGATCAAAAGATGACACCTTGAAGTTTGATAACAAGGAAAATATAGTGTGTTCCTAAAAGATAACTTGACATGAAACTCGAAGTTTTTGTTTGACACAGAATCCCGACAAAGTTATCCTTTATGTGCAATCCCATAACCCAAAAAGTAACATAGTCAAGCTTTAGGCTTTAACTTGTTATGTTCATGAGATGGAACAAGAATAAAACAAGCACAGCCAAAAACCTGAAGAAGATCATAAACAAAAAGAATACCATGCAAATGCCCATATGAAGATTGGCTATTAATGACTAATGATGGAATTCGATTAATGAGATAAAAAGCTTTGAAAGTAGGTTCACCCCAAAATCGCTCTAGACAAGAAGATGAAATGAGTAGAGCATGTACAAAATCAAGGATGTGTTTGTGTTTGCATTTGACATGCCCATTTTGTTAAAAGCGTAAGAACAAGATTGTTATGTCAGTGTAGCTTGTTTTTGAGAAAGGATTCAAGTCTAGGACCAAGATGTTTAGTAACATTGTTGGTTCTCAAATTTTTAATAATTTTAAAGAATTGGGTTTTGACTATGGTAGCAAATTTTATGTAAAGTTGTGGTAATTCAAAGTGATTTTTCATGAGATATATCCAAGTAAAATGAGTATAATCATCAACAAATAACACAAAGTGCTTGAAACCCCTATAGTGGGTGTGGGAGATGGACACCAAATATCAAAATGTAAGAGATCAAAAGGACCAGTAGAAATAAAATGACTACTTGAAAAAGCTAAAACTAAATTGTTTTGTAAATTGACATGACACACAATACAAGGATTCATTCTGAATAGATAATAATAAATTGTGAGAGATAAAAGGATGAAGTTTACCTATTAAGGTGTGTCTAAGTTGTGAGTGCCACATATGGAGAGGAAAAATGTTAGTAGCATCATAGGCTTGGAAGATTTGTTGATATGGAATTTGCGAAGACTCTAACTCAACAACACAAAGTAGGGTTTGGATGAAACAATCATTGGAAATGATGGTGTATCCATTTTATGATGTGGAATATGCAAATAATTGAGCTCAAACATACACCCCACCTTGTAACCAATTTCAAGAAGTTGTGTTTGTGGGTCCTGCACTCGACAACTATGAATGGACAATGTTATTTTACGACTAAGATCACATTATTGACCAATAGATAGAAGATTATAACTAAGTTTTAGAACTAAAATAACATTTGGTAAAGTCAATGAATTTATAGAAATATTACCAATGTAACTAACATTCATAAAGAAACTATCGGCATAATAAATATTAAGGAATTATTTGGTGACATTAAAGAGAAATGAGCAAGAGTTGAAGACATGCGATTACAACAACCATAATAAAAAATACTAAGCTTTAGTACTTGAAGTAACAGATAAGGCAGTAGGATCATCAAAGATATTTAATATCACCTGTTTTACAGATTTGTTAGTGACAATAGAAGGGTTAGGTTGATCTATCCCTTCTTTGGCAACCATAGCAATAATAGGATGAATCACAATTCTTCCAAAACTCCCCATAGAATTAGTAGAACTCATGAGACTAAAAAATCTTTAAAAATATGAAGAAATAAATACTAAGATTGAAAAAAAAAAATCAAAAAAATATCTTAGAAACTAGTTTGAGAACTAAGAATAATCGCCAAGAATAAGTAACCCAATATGTAGGAAAAGAGATCCCAATGATAGAGTTTCAGACCTAGAATAGATTTGAAAATCCAACCAAAAAAGGAAAAAATAATGATGGTGAAAAGGAGGACTAGGAGTTTACAGCTATGATACCATGTTAGAAATTGAAAAAATAAAGAAATATTTGAAGAAATATTTATTGTTTTCTTGATTAATATTGTATAATATTGTATGTACAAGGACTTGTAGATAGGTGTTTACAAAAAGAATATTCTTAGATATAGAATATTTACAATAATATAAATAGTGTGAATAGTTGATTGTTAATTATTGTATTTATATCTTATCTAACAAGTGATCAAATGCTTGTACTTTATGTTATAAAATTAATTTGGATTCTAAGTACTTTAAATGCAATAATCTTATATTATTAGTTTTTTGAAAGTGACAAAATATATATTTAATTTCATTTTAATGACTTCTAGTCATTGTAGTGCAATATATTGTTGCATTGATTACATTGAAATATGGTATTTTAGGGCCAAAAATTGTCTTTGCTTCAAAAGATTGAATAACCATAAGTAAGCCCAAACAATGAGCTTTATCCAGGTTAAAGAACTTCAATTCCTTTCAATATAGTCATTTTAATAAATTTAACTCATTTTTTATATAAATTAAATACAAAATATGTAATTATTATACTTTTAATATATATTTTTATAAATTAGACAAACCCTTTCATGAAATCGAAATGCATAAATTTACATGTATCTAAATAGTCCTGCCTAAATTTACAATCTAACCATTATTCTCTGCAAACCAGAAACGATAAACTATAAAAACTTTCAAATTTTGCTATCTTAGTTTTGAGCATCGAAATTCGTTCGTCATTTGCAAACGGCTAGATGTATCGTAGAAAAAAAAAAAAAAAAACTTTAATTGGAGGAACCAAAGTGGGAAGAGAAACCATTTTTACCCCACTAGATTTCTGAGTTTTGATGGTAATTATTCAGACAGGATAAACTTTAATTGGGAGGAACCAAAGTGGTAAAATGATTTTTTCAGCTTTTACATGCTTCTTTTGTTGTCCTTTTGTTGACAATTTTCTTTTGATCGTGCTCTCCTGTTTAATCATATCAATTACTCTATGTACCAAAAAAAGAAAAAAATCATATCAATTACTCTCTCATCTTTTTTTTTTTTTAATTATCTCACTTCTTCAATTATCTATAAATTAATTTAACAATTTTACGTAATTATTAAATAATATTTAAAAAAAATTTAACTTAAATAAAAATATTCAATAAAAATTATATATAAAAAATTTAATTATTATCTATTCATTATATAAAATTATTTAACTTAATTTTTTTAAAAAAATTAAACTAAAATAACTAAATTTGACGGAAAAAATATATATATAGTTTGAAAATGACGTGGTCTTGTAGACTGTTGGAATTAATTAATTATTGGCCTCAAGGTCCTCTAGATGCATCATGTGATGTCCTTGTATCCAATGGAATGTAATATACAGTTCTCGCTATTGTACTAAGTAAATTATGTTTAATAAAAGAAAATAAGTCAGAGATAATTTTTTAATAATTATCTTAAAGTGCCTATTAATTATTATCTTAAAAATTTGTAAACATTAAAAATATTTATTTTATTTGTTTTAATTATTAAAAATAATTAATAATTAATATAATAACTAATGTTTATTATTTAATAAATTAAAATTAATTTATAAATTCATATTTTTAAACATCATAATTAATAAAATATTATCAAATTAAACACAATTTTGTGCGTCCTTAACCGCACCCTATATCTCCATATATTTCCCACATACTAATGTCTACTCACAGATATAGTCTCCCCCAATCAAATTAATGCATCGAGAAGAATTAGTGACAAGCAATGAGTGAGAGTGACGCATTTTAAATATATTAGAGTAAGTGCTTGAGGTTTGTGGAAGAAGAGACATTGAGAGGGAAAGCACATATATGTTTAAATTTCTTTCAATAACAGTGTTGAAAACCTTTATATT